GGATACTGCAAAATCTCCATTCCCACCCCACTCTGGGGCCAGCCAGAGGTGGTATTTGCCGGTTCTCTGAACTGCTCAAAATTTCCGCTACCGGTTCTTCAGAACCTGTCAGAACCTGCTGGATTTCACCTCTCCATGAGCCTATCTTTGATTGCTGGGGCACCACATTCTTCTCATGATATGGCAAGTGTCAGAGACTGGCCGAGCCAGGGGGAGGAATCAAGTGGGGAATTAATTTGGAGTCTTTACATAGGCAGAAGAGGGCAAGGTCCAACACACACACCCTTGAATCCCGTTGATCATTATCTAGTCTGGCTAGTCTGGGAAGGTTCCTGTGAAATTGGTATGAACAATAAAGTTGCTAATTGAACTCTTCACATGTGGATCTGTTTGTTTGCACCTGACAGCAAGTGATGGAAGGACCTAAATATGGCTACGAAATCCAATGATTTGCTCTAGATTGGCCCTTATTAGGAATTGCATCAAAGTCACTAATAAGTACTTTTTGTGAGGAAAGACAAGAGCTATTTTTTGCCAATAATGTCTCCATGTCTCCAGATCTAAGACACTCTGCTTATAAATGTCCTCTCCCTGAAATGCAGTTGAGCATAAGTGTTGAGTGGAAAACCCATGCTGTAAAATAACTTTGGTAAATCGGCTTACCCAGGAGGTGGGCTGAGACATACTTATCTGTTCAACTAAACTGTTACTGAATAATTCCTCAGAAATCTTTATAAGCATTGCAAAGATTTGTTCAGTGTTGATGACTGTAAGGAAACGTGGCTTTAAATGAATTATAATTGACCAATTTTAGTCAGAAGGCTATTAGCTATAGATTTTGCAATTTTAATATAGTTTTTTTAAAATATGTATTGATGTACTCTGTATACTGTGAAATTTGGTTCTGTAAATATATAAAAAAAATACTTACTCCTTCTGAGAGCATTCTAGGAAGCAATAATTTCATAACATTAACACCCAACTGCACTGGTTACCCATTTGCTTCTGTATCCAATTCAAAGGGTTGGTTGTCATCTTTAAAGCCCTACATGGCATGGGTCCAGGGCATCTGAGGAGATGCCTCTCCCCAATAGGACAAGCCCACCCCACTTGCGCCAAAGAAAGAAGCCTGCTATGGAACTGAAGCAGGTGGGATCAAGGTAATTAGCCTGACTAGGTGGCTCAGTGGCTAAGACACTGAGCTTTTTGATCAGAAAGGTTGGCAGTTTGGTGGTTCGAATCCCTAGTACAGATCTTCTGCGTGAGCAGCGGGTTGGACTAGAAGACCTCCAAAGTCCCTTCCAACTCTGTTACTGTTACTGTAAAGAATCTTTACTGCTGTAGCCCCATCCCTGTGAAACATTCTACCACTGGAGGTGAGAACTGCCCCCTCCCTTTTGGCCTTCTGGAAAAGAATCAAAACCTGGGTTTGCTGGTTAGCTTAACTACTGAACATGGATGACAGGCTAAGAAGACCTCACTGCTGTCCCATGTGGCTCTTGATTGTCTTAGTTTTTATTTTAATCACAGTTTTTAATGTTTTAATCTCTGTAATTTTTAATGTTTTAATTTTTTTTTTACTTGTTTTATGAGTTGTAAGCCACCTAGAGTTGTCTTGTAGGGGAGATGGGTGGCATAAAAATCAAATAATAAATAAACAAACAAACACTCTTTCCTTTTCTGCTCCAGCTGTCACTAGAGAACAAGCAAGAGCTGCAGTGGCGGCTGTCCCCAAAGATCATATCATTGGACAATTGTTTTGTACTGATCAAGTAGACATTGCACCAACAAAAGCTTACATCAACCATTAAGGTAGAATTCCTTACACAAGGAAGTCTTCAGGCTATTGAAGTGGATAGAAAGTCCCTTCCTGTCCATTCATGTGAAACACCTGGTTGAAAAATTGAATATGATAATAAGCAGGCTATCCAGGAGTGAAACTGGAAGCTGAATCCCACCATATTTTTTTTAATGAAAACAAACTATTTTGGAGTCTTGATGGTGAAACAGTTTGTGTAAAGCAAACAGGTTTTAATCTTTCTACTGAAATTCCCATTAGAGAAGACTCTGATTATTATCAATGTTTGGCTGAAAGGTTTTTGTGTGCCCTTTACATGGGGGCTGAAAATGATAATAGAAATAATTTAATACAGCCTGCTGACCACTTTTACAAATTCCTTGAAAGGTGACCATCCATCTTTTTTTAAAATAATTGCAGGAAAGAGGAATTGATACCCTCTATTAACAGAATAGCAGAGTTGAAAAGGACGTTGGAGATCTTCTAGTCCAACCCCCTGCTCAAGCAGGAGACCCTACACCATTTTAGACAAATGGCTGTGCAATCTCTTCTTCAAAGTCTCCAGTGATGGAGCACCTACAACTTCTGGAGGCAAGCTGTTCCACTTGTCCTCATTGTCAGGAAATTTCTCCTTAGTTCTAGGATGGTTCTCTCCTTGGTTTCCGTCCATGGCTTCTTGTCCTGCCTTCAGGTGCTTTGCCCTCTTTCTTGTGGCAATCTCTCAAATATTGGAAGATGGCTATCATGTCACCCCTGGTCCTTCTTTTCACCAAACTAGACATACTCAATTCCTGCAACCATTCTTCATAGGTTTTAGCCTCCAATCCCCTAATTATCTTTGTTGCTCTTCTCTGTATTCTTTCTAAAGAATATCTTTTTCAATATCTTTCAATATCTTTTTCATATTGTGGCAACAAAAAGTGGTTACAATATTCCAAGTGTGGGCTTACCAATGCATTATAAAGTGGCATTAACACTTCACATGACACACACTTCACATGATCTTAATTCTATCCATCTATTAATGCAGCCTAGCATCGTGTTGGCTTTTTTGGCAGCTGCTTCACACTGTTGGTTCATATTTAAGTGATCGTCCACTAGGATTCCAAGATCCCTCTTGTAGTTACTACTATTGAGCCAGATATGAATAAAAGACTCTGAACAAACTCTGAATAAATCTGTTCCACTGTTAAACACTGAAGAACTTTCCAATTTCCCCATCTAGAGAGCAAAATTGGCTATAGAAAGACACTTATGAGATTATTATTTCCAGAAGAAAATGGGGACAGGGAATCCTGACATAAAAAAAAAAAAAAAAAACCACCTTCCCCCATGTTTCCATAATTAAACCTGCAGAAATATAATAGAGCCATTTAATTTGAGATGTTTACAATTTTATAATTGGATTACAGGGAGAGGAAGTCCTGGGATCAATTGAAAAGTTATGAATAAATGAAGCATGCTCAAGAATTGTAGGAATCCTGTGAACAAATTCTGGATTGATTTTTATTTTAGCTTCCCAGATTTAGTAGTATTCAGTTTTAGGTGTTTAAAAGAATCTGATCCTGAATCATACAGCACACCTTGCTAATACACTGTTGCATTATTTATATCATCCATTAGGAACTTAGCATTAAAATCTATTATTGATGCATTCCATTACAAATTTAGGAGTAAATATGCACCCCATCCTGCCATTTATTTGGTTGTAAATGACTGGCGTTCCCTGGTTCATTATTTATGAAGGCATTTTTGCATTTCCTGGGAAGGGCCTTTTCATCAAGAATTTTTTAGTCTTTGTGCACTAGCTCACTTAGCAGATTTGTTGGTGATGTACTACGGTAGATGTTGCACACATTTTTAAAGAGTTCTGAAAACAAACTGCACCCTATGGATAAAGACTGGATATTCATCCCTTTCGGTATTCTGTTCTGCAGAACAGCACTGAATTGCTGTTAATTAGCCGTGGTGGTGCAGTGGTTAGAGTGCAGTACTGCAGCCTAATTCTGCTGCCTGCTGGCTGCCTGCAATTTGGCAGTTCAAATCTCACCAGGCTCAAGGTTGACTCAGCCTTCCATCCTTCCGAGGTGGGTAAAATGAGGAGCCAGATTGTTGGGGGCAATATGCTGCCTCTGTAAACCGCTTAGAGAGGGCTGTAAAGCACTATAAAGCAGTATATAAGTCTAAGTGCTATTGCTATTGCTCATTCTGTGGCCAGGGAAAATTTCTCTCCCTGTTTTTTTCCTAATGAGAGAAACAATAGTTTTGATTAAAAAGATTCTAACTGGGCAAAAAAAAAAAAAAAAAAAAAACCACTGTCCTTTCCTTTTTTTGATTTAGTTCCGTCTATATCATCAATTTCCTTACTTGTTAATTTTTTTGCTCTTGAATTTATGAGTTTAAACTGCACAATGCACAGCTTAAGGTCTGAAATTACAGGTAGTCCTTGATTTACAACAGTTCCCTTAGTGACCATTCAATGTTACAAAGGCACTAAAAAATGACATGACCATTTTTCATACTTATGACCATTGCAGCACCCCCATGGTCACGTGATTTACATTCAAATCCTTGACAACTGACTCACATTTATGATGATTGCAATGTTCCAGGGTCATGTGATCCAGTGGTGGGTTCCAACCGGCTTTACTACCGGTTCTATTCGTGCACGTGCTCTGCACAAGCGCGTTAGGTATCTGCCCAGCTGACGTGCAGCAATCCACTCTGCCGCATCTATCAGCTGGGCTAAAAAAGAAGGAATAAAAGGTAGGAATAACGCGGGGGCGGTCGGGAGGGCCCAGCTCCCGGACTAAGAGAACCGGTTCGGTGACGTCACATTGTCACCGCTACCGGCTCGGCCGAACCGGGCCAAACCGGGAGGAACCCACCACTGATGTGATAACCCCTTGCAACTTTCTGACAAGCAAAGTCAATGAGGAAACCGGATTCAATGCATACAACACATCCTATTGTTTAACCATGTCCAAGGAACTCACACTTTTGTGTAACGTGTGAACCTGTCTTTCTTTGCAGGGTGCATTTTTAACTTTATAGCTTTAAATGCTTGCTACTCAGAAAGAATTTGAGATGCACATTTTACATGTTCTCATTTGACTTATTTTTATGGTGCCACGTAATGCCACACTTACAATGCATACAATAAAAAGAAGCATGGAACAGCACAGTCTGAAGATTATGAATATCAAAGGCACAGTATAAATTTTATGGGAGAAAATGTTTTCAAGCAAGCCACACAAAATCCACAGTAGTGATAGCTATTTGGAGTCACATGTGAGTTTGTTATTTGTATTGCCTCATTTTTGTTTTGTTTCGTTTTTTAATACAGCTTCTAGAAAATATCCTTTGCTGGATGACATTCCGTGCAAGGTCACAGAACTGGAGAAAATTGTAAAACTTTTACACTGAACCTTTTTACATATACAATAGACCAAACATGTGGTATTAGTTTCAAAAGCTTTGCCTTTGACGTAGACACATCTTCTTAACTGTTGAACAGATTTACCTGTCAAATGCAAAATAAAAGGCATTCATTATTCACCAAAATATTTTGTCCACAATTCCATGCAAGGAACAACTTAGCAAAGCATTTCTCATACGTTCTGGCTTTCTTCCTGTTTTGTTTTAAAGATTACCTTCATCTCCTGCAGCTCAAGGAGTACTTTATATTGTAGTAGCTTGGCAACCAACACTGGCCTTTATAATCAGAGAAAACTATGTGGGTCTCTAATTCTTCCCTAAGTTAAAAGGATTTATAGGATGTGGGGATTAGCGGGGAGAGGACTCCTGTCTCACCAGAGCAGGGAATGTGACACATTAACAAAAATTCAAAGTTGGTGGTGATTTAGAAATTTAATCTTGGAGCATAGGGTTGGGGATGTTTTTTAGGTGAACTTAAAGAAAAGGAGAAAATGGAAGGCAAATGTGATGTAGCAATTGTTTATTAAAGGATGGTTGTCATACACAGCAAACTCAATGATGAAGATTCCCATTATACTGTACATTCCACTGGAGGAAATTTATCCACGCACGTATTCTTGTGTGCAGGTAGACAAACCCTTTGTAAAATATTTATCCAGCCATTCATTTGTTACATTTAGGTGCCAAGAAGACCTGCAGCAGCCAATCTTATTTTCACAATAATTCTGTGAGTTAAGATGGACTGACCCAGTAGCTTTCACTGCTTAATGGGGATTTAAACCAGAAGTGCTTCTGTTCGAAGTACCATTGGGGGGAGGAATGGGGGATCTGGCTCTGGGACAGCAACACTGCACTACATCCATTAGTGCAAAATGGTAGCATCACACGTACAAGCATTTGGATTAGCTGATCAAGAGATATACAGATAGGCCTCGATTTACAGAATTCATTTAGTGACTGGTAAAAGTCACAACAGCCCTGAAAAAAATGACTTACGATCGTTTTTCACACTTAACAATAATTGCAGCATCTGCATGATCACGTGATAAAAATTCAAACGCTTGGCAACTGGCTCATATTTATGACAATCACAGTGTCCCTGGGTCATGGAGTCATCTTTTGCGACCTTCTGACAAGCAAAGTCAACAGGGAAGGCAGATTCACTTAACAACCATGTTATTAACTTAACAGCTGCATCTTAAAATGAGGGTAAACTTAACAACTGTCTTGCTTAGCAACAGAAACTTTGGGCTCAATTGTGGTTGTAAGTCAAAGATTACTATACCAAGAATTTCATTGGTGAAAATGATCCCCAAAAGAGCACTTTTGGAAGACGTCATAGGGTGGAAATAATCAGGATTTTTGCAAGGCTTGAGTGTCGGACCTTGCCTAGTGATGTGGGCATTTAAGTTGAGCATTTAATAAAATCCTTTGAATTCTGCAACCATCCAGACAGCTAGCAGCAAAGTGTAGTCAATAGCCTACAAAGTGTAGTCAATAGTGTTTTGCAGGTCTGATAGAATAGCCATAGAAGCACCCTGTTCTGTGAAGGGATTCACTCACTGCTCCCATTGTCTCCAAGAGATTGTGGAGTGTGCAAAGTTGTTTTGATTTAATAAAGTCAGAATGTTGGAAACAATATGGATCATTACAAAGGTATATGAAGATGATGCCTATCTCTGGATTTCCATCTTTTCATAAGGCCAATTAGAGTAGTATAATTAATGAGGAACACCTGGGATTAAAAACAGAGGTGGGTTTCAGCAGGTTCTGACCAGTTCTGGAGAACCGGTAGTGGAAATTTTGAGTAGTTCGGAGAACCGGTAGTAAAAATTCTGACTGGCCCCACCCCCCCATCTATTCTCTGCCTCCCAAGTCCAGCTGATCGGGAGGAAATGGGGATTTTGCAGTAACCTTCCCCTGGATTGGGGAGGGAATAGAGATTTTACAGTATACTTCCCCTGCCATGCCCACCAAGCCACGCTCACAGAACTGATAGTAAAAAAATTTGAAACCCACCACTGATTAAAAACAATAGGTGTCCTCCTGCTGCATTGTAGGAGGAGTTGTAGTAAAGGAGTTGTGGAGAATGCAGTCCATCTTCCCAGGATTGAGGAGCAGCATTCCAGAAGAGCAAAAATTTAGATCGTTTGAGTGGGAGTAAAAGAGTCAGAATACCTCCTTCCTAGGAGTTCTCAGAGTATGTGTTTCAAGGTGTAAGTGTAAAATAGCTTGCTTTAGTTTGGCAAGTTTTCTGTCTATGGGTGAGGAACAATAAAGGAAACCGCTTGGAAGAATGTCTGTGTGTCCCTATGACTGACAGATATCCAAACCTGCATATATAAAACCTGCATAGCTGAAGACAGCCTGTACTGGAGATTATCAGCACTTGAAAACTACTTTTTTTTTTTTTTTTGCACCAAAATACCTACCTCCATCTTTGTAGCCTGGTGGCATGCTCAAAGTGAGAACAACCTGTTGATTGTAGCACTAACTTTTAGGAAGAGAAGCAAATTATCACCCCGAGGACTTGGTTATTTGTTTATATCCTGCCTTTATTATTTTTTATAAATAACTCAAGGCAGCAAACATATCCAACACACCTTCCTCCTCCTAGTTTCCCCACAGCAATAACTCCATGAGGTGGTATGGGCCAGTGGTGAAATGTAAAATTTGTTACTACTGGTTCTGTGGGCGTGGCTTGGGGTAATGTGACTGGATGGGCATGGCCAACTTTTTTTTTTTAATTTTTAAAATCATTTAAAAGATCGCTACCGGCAGCGGATGGTTCGGACAACCAGTAGCAAAAATCTCTGCCCCCCACATGCCCAGCTGAGCCGTGCGATCATCAGAGGCTTTTTTTTTTTACTTTTAAAAGCATTTTTTCTTTGGCCAAAAAAATGCTTTTAAAAGTAAAAAAATAAATAAAAGCCTCTGATAATCGGATGGCTCAGCTGGGCATGGGGGGGGCAGGAATTTTTGCTACCAGTTCTCCAAACCACCCGCCGCCATTGCTTCTGGATCGGGTGATCTGGTCCAAACCAGGAGCATTTCACCCCTGGGATGGGCTGAGAGAGAGTGACTGGTCCAAGGTCGCTCAGTTGGCTTTTATGGCTAAAGCAGGACTAGAACTCCCAGTCTCCCAGTTACTAGCCTGGTGCTTTAACCACTCGACCAAACTAGCACCTTTAGGGAGTAACTCTGCCAGCAGTATGACTCCACTATATTCTTTATGCAGACTTCAATTGAAAATGACTAGATTTTAGAATCTGTTTCTCACTCCCACCGCATCACCAATGCTTTCATTTAAAATACTTGATTTTAGGGCTTAGCAGCTAAATAGACATATTGCTGCAAAGCCAGCTCGTGTCTAATCATTTTGATGGTGATCATAAGCTGTGCAAAACATAAAATGCAAATAATGAAGATTTATTATACAGCTCAGTTTCATGCCTTTGATTTTAATCACCAAAGAGATTTTAGACATAAAAATAAACATTTACTGTGTTCCACTATTTTTAGTTCATTTTTTAAAAGGGTATTAGAAAAATGTAATGCTCCAAACTTCAGTTTTTATAAAATTGATTCAAACCCTTCTGGAGGGTTTATAAAACTCGGGTAGGATTAATAATAAACCTGCCTAAACTAACAAGCCAAGACCATTTGTCAAACTTACCATTTCTTGACACTTAGCATTTCAAAGCCGTGCTGGCTATTAATGCCAAGCATTTATGTTTTCTAAAACTGCAAAAGCCTGATAGGCTCCCAATACAGTACCTTGCACAACAAACACACTTTTCAGATTTATGCGTTAACTGTTTATTCTGCTTTTAAAAATGGGAGGGGCTTCCTAGCACAATCATGTAACCCTTCAATCTGATTGAGAAGGGAGAAATCTTCTCATTGGAAACTGCTCTGTCAGCAGGAATAAAGATGAAAGTTGTTCTTCTGTAAGAAATGTAATAAATTGCTTTATGACCACTTATGGTTTCATGGAGAAGTTATCTTAATAACTCCAACTTTCTGCACTCACAGTTGGCATGTAATTTGATTGATTAATTGCAACAAGATGGACTCTAGGCAGTGGTGGGTTTCGCCTGGTTCAGCCCGGTTCCGCCGAGCCGGTAGCATGATGATATGACGTCACCGAACCGCCCCCCCGCGCCCCCACCCCCGTGTTATTCTTACCTTTTATTTGGCCCCACCCCCAATCCTTTGCTCCTCCTGAGTCCCAGCTGATGGCTAGAGGGAAAAAAAACTGTTTAAACTCTTGCCACGGGGCTTCAAAGGGCCGCCCTACAGCTGATCAGTATTAAAAGAAAACAAATGAGTAGATCAGTGCCTGCAAAAATACATGAGTAGACCAGTGCCTGCAAAAATAAATGGGTAATCGGTACACCCTGGTAGACCAGTACCTCTGCTAAATCCTATATAATTGTCACATGACCATCAAGCCACACCCACAAAATAAGACACACCCACAAAATAAGACACACCCACAGAACCGGTAGTAAAAAAAATTAGAAGCCACCCCTGACTCTAGGGTGGGGTTAGAGAAAAGCTCTATGGAGCTACAAATAATACAGCCCTGGGGTTACTGGCTATATTTTCACATCAGTGTAATGGAATCCACTCTGAAGTTGTGGACCAAGTAAGCCACAAGTTAATATATCTTTCTATGGGAGAACTAGGATGTTTCTATCTTCAGATAAATAAATCTACTCGAGATCAGAGGGTAGGATTTGAATTGGAGAAGAGGAAGTGGGATGTGTTTCTCCTTTTTAGAAATAGCAGTGCCAGTATTGATATTCTTCAAGTTGCATGCCATACAATGATCAGCAAAGAGAAACATACACAATATTCTTTTAGATGCGGTTTTTGGATATGTGATTGTTTATTAGAAATATTGAATTGGAAATACTTTTGTTCTGCGGTTTTATTCTTCTAAGACAAGGGTGTCAAACTGGCAGCCCGCAGGCCGGATGAGTCACGTGCAGGCCACACCCACCCCAGCTCTGCAAAGGGAAAAAGACATCACGATACATCATATGACTGCAATGTAAGGTGGCGAGTGTGACACCCGTGTTCTAGAACTATCACATCTGGCTTGCCAAAATCCAGGTCACCTCTACCTACATGGCAGCCAAGAAATAAGCTAACATCTGGATTGCTTCAGCCTAGAAGTATTTTCCCTAGATATTCCTGCTTTACTATCAGAGCGTATCCTTCCCTGTGTTTTCAAGAAAAAGTTGCCCCCATTCAAGGCAAGTTAAATTCTAGTCTTTACAACTAAAGTTCTCATGAACATGACCAGCTTTGTACTGTGTACATTAAGTTTCAATTTGTTTATTGGACTTCCGTTTTCCTTTCAGCAACAGGTTTCTAACAGGTTTTTAAAATGTGATGTAAAAGAAGAGAATATAGGTCAGGTGTTTCCAACCTTGGCAACTTTAAGACTTGATTGGGGAGTTCTGGGAGTTGAAGTCCACAAGCCTTAAAGTTGCCAAGATTAGAAACACCTGACATAGATAGATAGTCTTACGAAGGAAAACTGTTCTTCAAATAAAATAATATGGGGAAGAGAACCTTCTTGGCGTGACCAGCCATACATACATATATACATATACATATACATATACATATACATATACATACATACATACATACATACATACATACATATATATATATATATATATATATATATATATATATATATATATGAAAAGTTTGTGTTTGCTTTTATCTCAGTGAGGAGGATTTTGGCAGTTCCTTGAAGTCATATTCCTATTTTTTTTTTAAATGGATAAAAGGAATTCCTTCCCACTTTAATCAGTACTGCTTTTCTGCTTTTCTACCAAAGCTTATCTTATATCAGTAAGCAGAGAATTAGCAAATGCCGCTAATGAAAGCAATTATTAAATTGTAAATAACCTACCTGGCATCACTTATAAACTTATTAACTGTGAATTATGTTTCCCTGAGATACCAGAGATAATAGAAACTTTACTCTAGAGTACTAGCTCTGTATTGCAATGATAGAGGGCAGCTGGCTATCTCTGTGCAATATAATTTCAGTTGACTCTAGAGAACTCATTCAGAAGCAATCACGGTAGTTTTGTCAGACTAACAATAACGCCGTAGCAACTAAGAAAATGCTTGACACCCATCCTGAGTGAAGAACATATGTCAGATAATTATCTCTAAGAGAACAGGCTAGCTATGTTCCATCTAAGTTCCAATGTATGAATTTCTACATACCTGAAGGATTTTTTTCCCCCCTCTTGTTCTGGCATGCTCAGTTTTCATTACTTTTATTGACTGAAAATATAAGTCAGGCTCCAGTCACAAACAAAAGTAACTTTTGTATTAATATTGGGACTAAACTAAGAGTGGAAAAGGAAAGCATTCAGACTGCAATGAAATGAAATTTGTCTAATCCATTACAGTGGTACCTTGATACTCATCGTTAATTGGTTCCAGGAGGTGTGATGAGTACCAAAAACAATGAGTACCAAACAAATGTTTCCTATAAGGGAATGTAGTGAGTTACAAGGCAACCAACACAGACAAATTCTAACTTGTGCATTGAGTACTAGGACAAAATGTTTGCATCAAGATGCTTTCAGTACCAAATTCAATGAGTTTCAAAGTAGTTGAGTACCAAGGTACCACTGTACTTCTTAATCTTCTATGCAAAGCACACATACACACACACACACAATCAGTTCAGTCAACATACTCATTTTTCTAGATTTCATATATCAGTTTTGAAAACAGACCTTCATGCTCTCATCATTCTCAGTTTACTTACCGATGAGCTCTGCATGGGGTTGCCTTTGAAATTATGCCTTTGAAACCTGGAAAATATAATCAGTGAAAAAAGTAGAAGTTTAGTGACTGATGGGTGTAGGTCACCAGAGAGCATATTTTACTGCATTTCAGGCCTTAAATCAGTTACTGGCAGGTAAATTCTCCTACCTGAATTGGTTGCTTCACTGAAGAAATGTTTACTCATATCCCACTTTTATGAAGAAAGGAGACTGAGAATTAGGAAGTTGCTAGTCCAAAATATGGAGTAACTTCCCCTCAGATTTAAGGTTTGCTCTCTCCCTTTGAACATTCTGGAAACTATTGAAGACAAATTTTCCAAAGACTCTCTGCTAGAATTGTTTGTTATTCCCATATTTAAATTATTCCACTTAGATCTGTTAATATTATTTTATTTGGTTACATTTTGTTGTATTGTGTTTTTTCATAATCATAAATTATTCTTGCACTATAGCATTGTTTAGTTGTTTCATTATTTTAATTGTGTTTATTGCAGATATTTTAAATATGGTGGTTATTTTTGTCAACCGTTTTGTAAAATTCCACAAATCAGTATTGATTCAACAGAATACAGATAAAATTAATGAATAAATAAAAAATATCCCTATTATATGAAGGACATAGCAATTAATTAATTGGTTAGATAGTGTCATCCATGCAATGAACATGAATTTGGGCAAACTCCAGGAGACAGTGGAGGACAGGAGGGCCTGGCATGATATGGTCCATGGGGGTCACAAAGAGTTGGGCATGACTTAGCGACTGAACCACACAATGGCAATTAATTGTAAAAATGATTTCCTCCCTTTATATGGAACATGTTCTGCATTAATTGAATACAGACTGACTTGGTTTGCATGAGTGAAGACAGCTTTAAATGTAGGTTTGCTTTCATCCCATGTGGGAATGGGGAATCTGATTTTAAGGTGCAAAAGCTTCTGGTGTTGCATTTAGCACTTTGGTCCACATTACTTTAAATAAATGTTCTTTTTTCCAGAAATCATGCAATTGCTACAGCCCTAGCAATCATACCTAGGTATATACAATTATTATAAGGAGCTCTAGTGGTGCAGCGATTAGAATGCAGTAGTGCAGGCAAACTCTTAAGTTTAAGTTGGTGCTAGAAAAATCTTCAGGCTTTCAAAATCTTGTTCAGATGCCCACCAAAAATCTTAACTCATATTTTATCCTTATGAGAAACAAAGTCCTGTTCTGTGAATAAAAGTATTTTGCCTTTGAACCAGTGGTGAAATTCAAATTTTTTTACTACCAGTTCTGTGGTGTAGCTTGGTGGGCATGGTGTGGCTTGGTGGGCATGGCAGGGGAAGGATACTGCAAAATCTCCATTCCCATCCCACTCTGGGACCAGCCACAGGTGGTATTTGCTGCTTCTCCAAACTACTCAAAATTTCCATTACCAGTTCTCCAGAAACTGTCAGAACCTGCTGGATTTCACCCCTGCTTTGAACTGAGACTCTATTTATGAACGCCATTGCTTTCTGGAATTCTAATCCTTAATCTGTGAGTAAATTGATTAAATGGGTTAATTAATAAACTATTAAGGGAATCAGCAAGCCAAACTGATTCTAACTTGAAAGTGTGAGAAAGTTAGTAGTTGAGGCCACTGATCTCATGGAAGTAGCGATATATTTCTTGCAGTTTTTAAGTTCCTTTTGGTTCTAGATCAGGGTCCAGTCCTAGTTGATTTTAATAAAAGCAGTTGACCTCTTGTTATTTTCTAATAAATAACATATGATGTCAGAAATGAAAATGAATTTCTGTGCAGTGATGGTTTCTTACAGATCAAGGTTTGACAAAACAGTTGTACTCCCTTGTTAAAAGAAGAAAATGAGAGCCAATCCATAGACAGAACAATGCTAGATAGTCAATTGTAACATTACTAGCAAGAGCAGTAATTGTGAGAGGGATCTTGGTGGCACAGTGGTTAGAATGCAGTATTGCAGGCTAATTTAGCTCACTGCCAGGAGTTCAATCCTGACCGACTCAAGGTTGACTCAGCCTTCCATCCTTCTGAGGTCAATAAAATGAGGAGCCAGATTGTTCTTGGGGGCAATATGCTGACTCTGTAAACCACTTGAGAGGGCTGTAAAGCACTGTGGAGTGGTATATGTGTCTAGGTGCTGGTCTAGGTGCTATAAACACGGCTTTGACCCTAACAAAGGATCAAGCAGCAGACAAAAAGCTCGAAAACAAGGAGAGACTATATGTAAACAGTGCAGCTGATGCAATATGAAGCATGCCTATAAACAATGTTTATTATATGGGCAGAAAAGTCACAACTGTGGAAAGTAAACCACATCACAGAAATGTGCAAAATTATATACACGGAAGGAACAAAAAAGTATGACTCTGAAGAAGATTATTTCTTTATAATCAGTATGGATGGAGCTAGAAAGAAGGCTAGGCTGATTTATCCATACATCAGGGTTGAAATCCAACAGGTTCTGACAGGTTCTGGAGAACCAATAGCGGAAATTTTGTGTAGTTTGGAGAACCAGCAAATACCACGTCTGCCTGGCCCCAGAGTGGGGAGGGAATGGAGATTTTGCAATATCCTTCTCCCAGGAGTGATGAGGGAATGGGGATTTTGCAGTATACTTCCCCTGCCATGCCCACCAAGCCATGCCCACCAAGCCATGCCCACCAAGCTACACCATGCCTACCAAGCCACGCCCACAGAACCGGTAGTAAAAAAAATTGGATTTCACCACTGCCATACATCAAAAGTATCTTAAAATCCAACAATAGATTATTACAACCACAACCACATGCCATCTCTTTCCAGTTCCATCTGAAAATAAAGACACATATAATAAGTATTATAAGAAGGAACACCATGGGGTTCAAGTGCAATTAATTCCCAATATTTGGCTTTTGATACATATCTTTATAATGCAAATATGGAGATGCCTGTCAAGCAAGTAGAGTTTCAAAGTGGAATAAATCATCCTTTCTCATAGCTATACATTACAGATGTTACACACATGATGTTCTCTGGTTCAGTTTATGGTCACTCATTCACACACTCACAGGCCTGGAAAATTGCCACACTCAAACTATTTTCAACTGAACACTGAGGCACAAACAATTCTTTAAAATACATGGAGATCTAGTGAATTTAAAATAACAGTGAAATTTTACTGATTATAAAGCATATCTATTGTGTCCTACAGGCACAGATATGCTCTCTCATTCACACTTACCCAACATCCACAACTAGGCACTAGCCAGAGAGATGGAAGCCAACAAGTCTGGGATCCAAAAAACTACTCAAAGAGTGGGGAGGCTTCAGGACCCCTTTTTATCCCCCAAAGACCTTGCTTTGTTGATGGGAGGTGCTTCCTATGCAGGTCCAACTCCTTTGTTGGTGAGACTTGGGGAGGGCTTGCCATGTGCTCAATCCCAACTTTTGTCCTTTTGTTTCCTTAACAACTTGGTGTCCTTTCCCTGAGGGAGCTTTTCCTGGCTTTTGTCCACTCTGCTTATGTGTCTTCACCAATTTTAGGCATGGTGGCTTCAGCCTAGTCTCACACAGGAAATAGGCAACACAATTTAATCTATGAAATCTGGAAAGAAATTTAGCCAGCTTGTAGAATGGAATTTTAAAAAGAGGGGATTTGAATCCTACATTATTAATGATAGACAGTATGATATGTCTCTTGAAGATGACCTCCTCCACTTATCATTTTATGAGGTTTATATAACAATCATTTTGAAAATGGGAAACTTCCATTCATGCAACTTATCACCTAATATATTGTTCAAAGATTCTAACTCAGCTCTAGCATGAAGGTTGCTGAAGGCATTACCATTAAAAATTTATCTTGTACAATCTGGCATTATGAAAGGATGCCAGGTACCTAACCATATTAGATTATTGATAATTAGTTTAGTAATATACTCTGAGAATTATGAAGTGCCTCTAGGGGCTTTGTTGGATACAGCAGAAGTATTTAATATAATATGCATTACTTTTTTGGATGAAGTTATGAAAAAATGGATTTCTATCAAATATTACTTCTTGGATTAAAATTTATTATATTTGGCATTTTGTTGGAGTAATAACTAATAAGATTATTTCCTCCCCAATTGTGATATTATAGAATTTGTTGAGGGCGAATTTTGATTTCTTTTATTAGACAATGCTATGATATTCAAGGTATGCTTGTGGGAAGAATCTAACAGAAGTTGTTATTTGTAGATTGTATTTTAGACTTTTTAAACAGTTATCAATTTTTTTATGTTACAATGCAATAAACTAGAATAAATAAAACATTTACTTGGTGATAATATTTCTATGGAATTAAGTTTAAAAATGGGGAGTTTGTCTTTGTATATATTCTATTAAAGAGATAATTAATTAGGATTGGATAGGATTGGATAATTATTCATAAAGAAATATTTTCTTGTACAACCTGAATATTTCAAATTATATGACACAGATTAATGGTGACATTAATACATTATTAAAATGCCTATAATATGTAAAAATGTACATATATAATATGTAGGTATGTGCCCTTAGCAATCGTAAGGGTAATATTGTTTTACAACAATTCTTCTGCATTGATTTAGTGATATATATTGATATATATATTGTAAGGCGGATATCTTTGTTAATTTTACTTAGATGTTTTAAACAAATGGATAAATCAATAAATTCTTCCTCTCAAAGTTACCGCTTTCATATATATATTTTCCTCCAATTTTTCTGATTTGTAATTACATCATTGGGCATATTTGTTATTTTCAGCTCCATAACTGGAATAAAAATGACATTGCTTATAGACCATTGTGGGAATAATTAGAGTGGTATTATTTTGCATCTTTGAAATCTCTCCTAGTACTAAGTTATATCTTGTATTTTCAGCATGAAGTTGATTAGGCATCTTCAGATGATATTGTGCAAGAAAATAAATTAATCTCTGTTCTTAAGAGAAACTGACCCTTTAGAATAATTCTTAGTTAAAAGTGGCATTTGATATATACATATAATATCAACCCTGAA